CTTCTTTAGAGCTTCAGTTGCCAAAGATTCCAATGGGGCTATTCTCTAGTTTCTCACTTTACCAAACCCCAAGTCTTGCTGTTTTAAGCAGTTTGGTCACTTGCAAAGGCTCCCCTTTCAGATCTAAGCAAATTATAGAAACCTCTAGGCATGTGGCTACCTCCACCTTTCTCACTGAGTCCATGCACAACAATACAGAGCCAAGTGGTAACTCCAGCTGCCCCCCATAAGCCCACCCAGCCTCTCTCTAACCACCCTTTTTGTGTTGAAGTTTGAGTAAAATCTCAAATAACTTCTGGTATAAGCAAGTAAGAAGTAGTCTTTGCTTTTCCTCTTTATTTACCACATCTAGAGCTAGAAAATGATTGAAATAAAGGAGCTGATGGTACTCACAGTGAATGCAGCCAAAGAATCATAAGACATGCCCACCAACCAGTCTTTTCGAAATAGCACTATCTCCCAACTTAAAGGGACTTCTCTGAAAAGATGCTATTTGAAAAGCTCAGGGTATTGATATGAATATGACCCCCTTTGCATCCTGAATATTTGGAACGATTTAAATGTGAGAGAACAGTTTCAGTGAACCTTTATTTAGTGAATAAAAGTTTAAAGCTGAAGGTTATTTATGGTTGTGCAGAGATGAGACCTGAGTGGCTATTTACGAGCACGTGATTCCAATAAACTTTGTTTTATGGCTTGAGAGTTGACAAGCCAAAATATAATTCCCACCATAAATTAGGTTAAGAGCATACAAGTGCAGATGCTTGGTCCTTGGAGCAGCGATGGGGAAGTGAGAGGCTCCAGCTAGCGCCAGGCTCGGAGACAGTTCGACTCCCAGTTCCCCTGCCCACTGGGAGAGAAAACCAGTAAGTCACTTATTACTTTTTCCAGGACAACTCCAGGGGTGGGGGATTTCTCTGCCTTGTCTTTTCTGCCTGGGGTGAGGAGAGGTCCCATCGAAGTTGATGTTCATTTTAGCCTAAACCTAAATTAACACATAGAAGGGGAATCCTGAGCTCTTCCCCTCCCTCCTGGACACGGGAAGTTAGGAACTGAGGGCTCCTTCCTCACAAAAGGGACTTACTGTCTCTCTCTTCCCCATAATGGAACATCTGCTTGAGACGTGGAATGAAACTGTGGTGGTCTAGGTGAAGAGAGTGGGGGCGGGGGGGGGGAGGGAGGGAGAGAGAAAGGATGGGGATGGAGATGGCTTTGCCTCTGAGATTTCTCAGAGAAGACGGCCATCATAGGAAGGATGAAAACTTAAAGCTGGACACCAGCCCCTGTGAGGATCACTGCTTTGCCCTGTGGGCTCTCCAGAAGCAATACTGACGAAATACTGTCAAATCCATATAGCCGCATAACAATCTAAAGCATTGCCATTTACCTTCAAACCCATTGATTTTCCTCCTCCTTCGTTATCATTTGGGTCCTCATTCCCCTTGGAAATTGCTCTTTGTTTTGAATTGGAGCAGAAGTGGGAAGGCAAGTCCCAGTCATGCCTGGTCCTTCTTTGGAAAGGAGAAGACAGGTTTGGGGGGCGCTAGTTGGGGCTGGGCAATTTGAAACTAAGCTGAAACTGGCAAAAGGGGTTGAGTTGCTCCCAGCGCGAGGCAGACAGGAGCTGGGGCAGGGGACAGATGCAGCGGCTGCCCCCTCCCCAGTGGACTTGCGCCCACCCGGCTGATTGTGCAGAAGGAAACACACAAAGGCCCATTTTCTCCTCGCTTCCCGTTTTCCCACTGGGGAAACCCTGTTACAGGCAGCCCGAGTCTGGCCAAGCGACCAGTAAGGTTTTGCCCAAAGGTGCATGGAGCGGGGCGGGGGGGGGGGGGGGGGGGGGGGGGGGGGGGAGGCGATGGGGGCCATACTCTGCTACTCCCCGGGTCTGCCCTTGAGGACTGCGGTCTCCCGCTCCGCGGAGAACTTGGCGCAGTTCCTGGGGGCGGCACCCGAAGCAGGGAGGTCTGGGTATTGGTGGGGTGTCTGGGCCTTGTCATTTTTCTGTGTATCCTCTTATCTCTGCTTTATTATCCTGTGGAATTTAAGTGACCCCCGTTTTCATTGCAACAGGTTCCGGACCATGAGAGCCTGCCGCTGTAAGTACCTTCCCGTTTCTTCCGAAAGAAATGCGAAGAGGCGGTGCCGGTAACTGGGGAGGTGTCGGCAGAAAGGCCGCGCCAGAAGAGTGGGCGGGTGGAAGACCGGCCGGCTGCCCTGGCCTGGCGGTGCAAGGCGCTCTCTTCGGGGGGTGGAGGCTCTAAGTTGACTGAGCTCCTGGATAGATTTTCCGGGGCCTAGTTCACAGTCACCTATCCGAGAGAAACACACCGCAGCCTCTCGCCCTTGTGTCCTCGGGCCTCTCTGCGCCTTCTGGGCCTCCCCAGGCCTTCCCAGCCCGCACAGGTGCAGCTCCGCAGCAGCCTAGGCTTCTGTTAGGAGCTTGCAGCTAATTAGCAGCCCGCTGTATTAACAAGTTGCGGCGAGCATCGCTTTCTGCTCAAACCAACCTGCTAAACACCAAAGCAACGCGATGCTCCTCCGCCCCCCAGCCTAGCTTAACGCCACCCAGCCTGGACGCAACCTTCCCTTGTCTTGTTTTGTTTTGTTTTTAATAAAAAGAAGAAGGAAAGAAAGAAAGACTTAACCCTCTACGGCTGGCTGCGGGTGCGTGGAGTTGGCCCGCTTCCGGGAAGGGCTGCGAATTCTGAGCTTTACGTGGAAATCCCTCCTCGCCCCTCCACCGGCCCCAGCTCCAGAGGTTTGGGCTCTGGGCTGGGGACACGGGCTGAGCAAGGAGGGAGAGATACGAAGCTTCTGGTTCACTTCTGCTTCTCTGTAACTGCAATTCGAGAATTTTCGCGCCAGAGCCAATAGTGTTGCAAGCAAAGGTGGTTTTGGTGGTGGTAGAGTTGCGGTGGGGGCAGAGATTCTTGGGGTCATGAGCTCACAACTTTGGATCTGAGTTGCATGTGCCGCGGAAGACAGGTACATTTCCGAGGAGGCCTGTGAGGTCTCCAGAGAGACTATCCCATTTAAGGTGATGGTAGTGGCAGAATGAAGGAAAAAATAGTGACCCTTCCGTCACTGCAAAATGGAGCTTATTTTATTTTAATGGGAGATGCAATGTAGGAAGGTGGTAGGAGCCAGGCACCCATCCATCCTCTCTGGTGAGAGGCACTCTCTCCAGGGTGGAAGAAACTGGGGCTTGGCTCTGGGCCAGGTTTCTTTGCCCTTCAGGCTGGGCAGCCTAGTTAACTTCCTGGGGGCTGTGTTCATCCCCAGGAGTGGAGATAACGCCCAGTTCATAATTTCTCTCTGTTAATCAGGCTGGGTTATGTGAAACCGGCTCTGGGCTCCAGGCTGGAAAATCTGGTGTTCGTCCCCAGGACACCCTGGTTTTGCCCCCCTTCCTGCTGCTGTCCCTGCTCTGGGTGCTTATCTCTGCCAGTGCTCTTCACTTGCAAACCCACATTCGGCACCCTGGAGCTGAACACAGCACAAAAAGCCCGAGAGATCAAAAGCATTTGTATGGGCAGTTGAGCGGGAGGTGAATATTTAACGCTTTTGTTCATCAATAACTCGTTGGCTTTGACCTGTCTGAACGAGTGGAGCAATAAGGTGAAATGCAGGTCACAGCGTCTAACAAATATGAAAATGTGTACCCTCACCCGGGTCCCCACCCGGCCCAGCAGGCTCCCCCAATTTGTCTGGATAAAGCCTAGGCCCAGTGTCCCCAGGCAGGTGGGTATGTGGGAGCACTTGGCATTAGGGGAAGTTGGGAGGAAACCACCCCTTGAACAAGGAAATTTGGCGTGGGGCAGCCTCAGACTCTTGTGAGAATTGGCACCCAGGAAATCCCTACAAAATAGCCAAAGCACTGGAACCAGAGGTTGGGGGGGGGGGAGGGTTGGGGAGTGTGCAAAGTGCAGAGTAGAAGCAGGCAGCCAATTTTGCCAGGCTGAGAGGCAGAAGGGAGTTTCTCTGCTCTACCCCACCAGACCAAGGCTAAGGCTGAAACTAATTTTTGAATCCTAAGGAGGAAATTAAAACAATAAAAAAAAAATTTTTTTTTTAGCACCTCTGGCCTAAGCTCAGAGATCCAAAAGCCCCACTGGAGGTCAGGCATCCTTCTGCCCCTGAAACCCATCCCGGCCCTGAGTGAGTCTGTGTTCCCGGTGCCCTAAACCGAGGGGTGAGCCCTAGACAGCGCTGAGGCACTGGGGCGGATGCAACGGGTGAACTTTTGTACTCTTGTGTGCTGCTGTCGGCAAAGCAAAAATAATGAAACTTTGTGATATGTTTGTAAATGATTTCGGATGACCCCTCGCCCTGCCCTTCACCATTAGCACGCCGACCCCAGCCCAGGGCAGCTTGGTGCCTGCAAGGAGTGCCTGCCGCAGGGTCTACAGCTCAGGACGGAGAGACCGGCCCGGCACAGGGCCCGGGAAGGTAAATGCAAGACCTCTTGGGGAACTGGCTTTGTCAACCAACCTGGCTTGCCCCTGCATTGGGAAGAAGAATGGGCAGAGGATATTCCCCTCTTGCATCTTTTCTCCTGCCACTAAGGGCATTTGCTCCTTTCTGGAAAATACCACTTGATAAGGGGAGGGGGGGGGGTGGATCTAGAGAGGAAGGTAATAAACCCCCCGTTTCTGGGATGGATTATTTTTTCTTCTTTTCTTTCTTTCTTAAGAGGATTGTCCTGTCTCCTTGGCTGCTCAGTAACTCTGGGTCTGGTACACGGATGGGGAACTCGTTGCTGCAAATTGTCACCAAGCTCTTCAAGCTACCTGAACCCTCTGTGAGAGTGCGAGTGGCTGCGTCGGGCCGGTGATGGCTCCGAGGAAGAGGCCGGGGCTGGCAGCCTTCTGGGTACCCACTCTAGGTGGAGCCCGGAGGTAGTAACGTTGTCTATATATACCCTGTAGAACCGAATTTGTGTGGTGTCCACATAGTCACAGATTCGATTCTAGGGGAATATATGGTCGATGCAAAAACTTCATGTTTCTCCGAAATAGCCATAGTCGGAAGCTGAGGCCAGAGGCAGCCGGGCACGGGTCGGTTTCCTTTCTGTTTTATTACCTTAGACTCCAGGAGGATGAACTGAGCCTGGTGACACAGGGGAGCCTTTTCCCCAAAGCCCCTCAAGTTTAAACGAAGGTTCCTGTGTAAACCCTTAATTGGTTGCATGAATGCAGGGCCGAAGGGCTAGGTTTAGGGGGACTGGGGAGCAAGGTGGAAGGCCAGGTAGCCCCAGCCTCAACTCTGCCCTCAAGGAAGCACGAGGGGAGATCAGAGGGTGCCCAGTGAGGGGGCTCACAGGTCGTTGACTGCCCTGTGGGAAAAGGGAGTGCAGGGTCCTTTGGAGCCCATCTGGGTGAGGTGGGGGTGCCATCATCACCTTCCAGGCCCACCCCACAGCTGCATGAGCTGGGTGGGGGGTAGCCTTGCCATACCTGTGAGACAGACTTTGGCTAAAAACACTCCAGCCTGGGCACTCACAGAAAGCTTGGCAATTACTCATCGCCTGATTTGATTCGGACCAGCCAGACTGTTGTAACTTTTGGGTGACCCTGAGGAAGACAAAGCCAGGACTCAGCCTTTGTATGGCACAGTCCCCAAAGGCACAGTCCCCATTCCCGCGGGCGGGAGCCCTGCCTGCCTGGTGTACTCTGCCCAACTCAGAGACTGCCTAACCCACCCGCCTTTTGGCATCGGGCCTGAAAGAGCTGGGGTTCCCTTCCCCCCTTGAACTGTACCCATTTTGGGGAGCTGTTTTCAGCGGGGGCGAGTGGAGAGGACACTGGAGGTTAACAAAGTCAGTGGCAGACAAAAGCCGGGACTACCTGCCAGGGATGAGGGTGCCGGGAATTGGAGAACTACATTAACATCTGGCAGAGGCCCTCAAATGTGCCATGGCGAGGCACTTGATTACACGTATGTTATGTAGTTAAATTTGTGAAAATTATGAGATGCTCACCAACCCGGTGATAAACTCGCTTCCTCGCTATTGGCTGGCTTGGTCACATGGCCGCCAACTTTATTCAGTTGACAGCAAGTAGGAGGGCCCTATGGAAGGAGAAAAAAAGACAACACGAGAAAAATTAGTATTTTCTACCTTCTGAAATTAATGGCCATGAGTTCGTATATGGTGAACTCCAAGTATGTGGACCCCAAGTTCCCTCCGTGCGAGGAATATTTGCAGGGCAGCTACCTAGGCGAGCAGGGCGCCGACTACTACAGCGGTGGCGTGCAGGGTGCAGACTTCCAGCCCCCGGGGCTCTACCCACGGCCCGACTTCGGTGAGCAGACCTTCGGAGGCGGCGGGCCCGGGCCCGGCTCGGCGCTACCCACGCGGGGTCACGGGCAAGAACCCGGCGGCCCCGGTGGCCACTACGGAGCCCCAGGAGAGCCGTGCCCCGCGCCCCCGGCGCCGCCGCCCGCACCCCTGCCCAGCACCAGGGCCTGCAGCCAGCCGGGCGGCCCCAAGCAGCCGCCCCCCGGGACGGCACTCAAGCAGCCCGCTGTAGTCTACCCCTGGATGAAGAAGGTGCACGTGAATTCGGGTAAGGCAAGGCCCAGCGACCTCTCAGTCCCCACCCCAGCCTGAAGGCCTGGGCCCCTGAGAGGGGGTGCGAGTGGGTGGGGGCTGGGGGGGGGGCTTCAATGGGCGCCGCAATTACTCTCTCCATAAATTTTTATAGCTGAGGGAGCAGGCCCGGACCATGTGGCCGGCTGCTTGGCTGTGGGCGAAAAAGGGGGTGGAGATGGGGGTGGGGTGGGGGAGGACTCCATTTTCAGAGCGCACGGAACCTGGTAGAGGAGAGGGGGGCGGATTTCCAAAAGGCTAGGGGATTCCGGAGCTCTCGGTGGGCCTGGGAAGACGGGAGCCCAGAAGGGGATCCCCGCCCCGGCGGCCTAGGGGAGTGGGTGGGTGGGAGTGAGCCGGGTGGGGAGGGAGGAAGGCAGCGGGCTGGGAGTGCGCGGGGAGGGCCGCGGCCGCGGGCACGCCGGGAAGTGAGCGGCAGTGGCGAGGGGGCCTAACGTGGGGCTGGGCGCTGACCTGACCGTGCTGTTTTGTCTCGCAGTGAACCCCAACTACACTGGCGGGGAGCCCAAGCGGTCTCGGACGGCCTACACACGGCAGCAAGTCCTAGAACTGGAAAAAGAATTTCATTTTAACAGGTATCTGACCCGGCGCCGTCGGATTGAAATTGCTCACACCCTGTGTCTCTCTGAGCGCCAGATCAAGATCTGGTTCCAGAACCGGAGGATGAAGTGGAAAAAAGACCACAAGCTGCCCAACACCAAAGGCAGGTCCTCCTCCTCCTCCTCTTCCTCCTCCTGCTCCTCCTCAGCGGCCCCCGGCCAGCATTTGCAGCAGCTGGCCAAGGACCACCACACGGACCTGACGACCTTATAGAAGTGGGGACCCTGGGCCCATTCCTCCCTGCGCTCCCGGCTGAGCCGAAGCTGCGGGGGCAGGCCGGGCTTGCTGTCACCTCCCAGGGCTCTAAGGTACTGTGGGGTGGACCCGGGATTGCAGGCCGCCCTCGGACTAGATTAGCATCCTGCCCGAGGGCAGCCCCCTCCCTGAAGCGAGATGGGGGTGGGAGGGGGGCGGGATTCTCTCTCTAAGTATATAATCATATGGCAGGAGCTACTGAGAACATAAACCTTGGCGAGTCATTAAACTCATGAAAATCTCTGCTGTTGGATTTTGAATTTGCAAATGAAGGTTGGATGCTTTATCCCAGGGCGAATTGGAACATCCTCCCCCACCCCACCCCTCCAGGGATCTTGGTGGTTAAATAATGTGGGGGAGTTGAGGCAGAAGGTTGGCCACCCCTGTGCTAGGTGCTTTCAGTAGAAGCAGGAAAGCTGGGCCAGGATTTCTGAACTTTCTGGGTTGTCTGTATAATTTCCGGTGTGAAAAAAAAAAAAATATTTTGCTCCCAGTGGCCCCATGCCCAAAGAAATGAGTCTGAGAAGGAAGTGGAAACGGGTTATTTTATGTTTAGATTATATTTGCTTAAATATTTATTTGTTGGGGGATGGGGGACAGAAATAACTGACATCTTAATGCCAAAAATCTTAAGACGGTGAAAGGGGCAGAGTTTCAGGGAGAAGAATCAGAGATGTATGGACTAACTTCTGGCTCTAACTGGCATTTTGAACTCCACCCTCTCCCCACTCCCCGGAAATGTGTGTAGGGGGCCCTTAACCCTTTTAGAGGGAAGCAAAGGGTCCACTCAAAGTTGAGTTCTTGAAAATATATTTCCACATGTGCTTTTTTCAGCACTATGCTTACAACTAGTTCTGGGTGATTAAAGGAAAGGGAAAAGAGAAAGAAACAAATGGTCCAACATTTTCCTTCTGGGGAAAGAAAACAAAACCTCTATGTTCTGGGTCATTAGATAATGACTGAATTTTCTGTTCCAACTGGATTCCAAATGCTGGATCCCAAATAACCCATATAGCAGTATTTTATAGGAATTGGTGTATGGCTTCTCTGGGAGAGGGGTTATGTAGTGGGGAGAAAGTGGGAAGGTGGGGCAGTCTTGCTTTAAAAAAGAAAAAGAAAACTAATTGAATCTAGAAGCCCACAAAAGTTGGTCTTAGGATTTTTTTCCCCTGAAGTTTTTTAGTTTTATTTTTTAAACAAATGTAAGGAAGTTTTTCTCAACCCATTAATTAGAAGCAGAGATTGTAAAAGTATAAAAGTTTCAGGCCCTCCTCCTTGTCCTAAGAATAGTGGTTTCAAAACATTCACTCTCAAACAACAGGAGTGATGTTCTTCAGTCATTTTTCTTATGCCTTGCCTGAGAAGGATTCAAAGCTCATTTTTCTGAAATGCTGACCCTTAAGGATAAGGGGGGAAGGAGTCAAAGGTAATGGCCAGAGCTCAGAAACAGACTTTGGGAGTTTAAACGCCAAAGCTGTGGGCTCCAAAAAGAAAGCCCTGGTTGTAGCCACCAAAAAGTGACAAAAGAGAGGAGAGAAAAAGGATGAGCTTGAAAGAGAGGTTAAGAATTGGAGCTCTTTTTTCCCCCCAGTGTTTCAGAATGCTTTAGGAAGTTCAGAGATAATTTTTAAAATATTTTTAAGTGGAAGGAGAAAAAGAAAAATACTTTTTCTACACGCATGTTCTTTGGTGTCCCCTGAGAGCTGAGAGCAGGTATTCAGTGGAGTCCCTAGGCTGAAATTCCACTTCTCTAAAGTATCTTCCAAGCCTTGGTCTTTTGTATTAGACCCTGGGGACAGCTCTTTGTTCCTCCTTGGGGTGAGCCTGGCTCTCAGACTTGCACATGGCAATACTTGAATATCGCCACGTCGGGATATTAAAGATGGATATTCCTGCATTATTCGCATCATTGTTTCTATGACAAAAAGCAAAGAGTTCATACATAGTCAAGACGTCTTTTTTCTGACGCCCTCACGTTGAGAAGCTGAAAAGGTATTTTACTGAAGTTCGGCTAAATTACAGAATCAGGTTCATCCAGAGGACAAATTTTCTATTCGATTAGCTGTATTTCAGCCGGGAGGACTGACCTCTAAACCCTTAACCTTTTGGACTCTAACTACCCTTCTCTTCTTTTTTTCCCCCCCTCTAACACGGAGAGCAGTCTTTGGATGTAGCATTTGAAAAGAGCCGCTATCGTTAGGCAAGTTGGAAAGTTGCTGAGATTCTTTCCTAAAGCCCAAATCTGTGAATATAGTGAACCTTCTCCTTGGGAGGGGGAAAAGTATATATTTTCACAACACCCAACTACATATATATTATAAAGATTATTAGATAGATTCCCCCATTCCCAGAAGTTCAGGTTATTCACCCCAGCTTCAGACCAAATGCCAAAACTACTTAACTGACTTCACCCATGTCCCGGAGGAAAGCCAAGAGGCATGTTTTGATGAAGAAAACCCATGCTCCTTCTCAAACATAGCTTCACTACTTTGAAAAGTAACTAACTTAATCAGAGAAACAGCTTCTTTGTTTATAAATCTCAGTTCCCCTCAGCTTCCAGGGATTGTCTTTTGAAATGTTAATGGAGCTTGGATGGCCCTGGGGACAGTCCTCAACCCTGTGGTCCCAATCGGACCCCAGCATCCATTTGGGCCCACAGGAGTGGGGCAGGGAAGAAGCAGCGCCCCCCCCCCCTTCCCAAAACCACCTAGGGCAAGGAAGGAAATGAGTTTCCATCTGGGAACATACTCTGGGGAACCCTAGATGTGGAAAGGCTCAGTGCCCATTTGCTTTCATTTGTTTCCAGTTTGTTCCCCCAAATATGAGCCAGAAGTGTTTGTTTTGGTGGTGGTGCTTTTTTTTTTTTTTTTTTTTTAAAGCTGTGTTGGGGTCGTGACTGGGGAGGAGTGAAGTGTTTACTGAGGACACTGCTCCTCAGACCCCCATCTCACTTTGTCCACTGCAGCCTTTTGTTGGGAGATGACATTGTCTGTCAGCCCCATGGTGTCTGTTCACACAGGATCCTTTTTTAATAGAATTGACCAATGTTCTGCTGCCACTGATTAAAGTATTATTTATACTAATTGTTGCCTGTAGTTTTGATGTAACTCATTGATCTATATTTGAAATAATAAAAGGTGTAGCGATACTTCCATCCTGTTTGTTGCCTCCAAAGAAGCATTCTTCATTAAGTCTTCTAAAAGCTAACATTCAGTATAAACAATTTATTATTTTCTGCATTGTGCCTGACATGTGAAAGTTACAGTGTGTAAGGGTTAGCAAATCTGTCATTAACCTCTCCCCCACACATACACAGTCCCAATTTGGCCACCATGTTTTGTGAGTATTGGGAAGCCTAACGTTGGATTCAGGCTGCAGGGCATTATTTTTTGGAAGAAAAATAAGTAACTTCCCAGGCTAACAGGAGGCTCCAGGTTGGCTTTCTGCCTGGCCCTGGTTAGCTCCAGACCCTCTCAATCTCTCTTTGTCTTGTGGTGGGTGAGAGACCTCCCTGTCCCCCAACTCTGGGAGAGTGCTGGGTTCTGGGCCAAGCTAAGACTGGCCAGTGGCTGCTCGGACCAGACCCTCTGGCCTCCAGTCTTGGACTCCTACTTTTCCTGTGCTAGTCCGTCCCACTGGGGTCTCCAGCACCTGCCCCTCCTCGCCCAGAGCCCCCTCCGCCCTCCAGACTACAATAATACTCTCCACTATAAAAAGTGGCCTGCGCTTCCCCCCACCCCCCAAAGGCTTTTTCTCCTCTTTGCCTCGCCTTGGAGAGTGGACCAAGACAGGAGTCCCAAACTAGCTGGAGGGGGGGGGTGGGGGTGTGCTCGCGACAGGAAATGAGCAGAATGCATAAAATCAGACATGTGTCCTTAATATATGGAAGGGCTCGCCTCAGACGCGTGGACATGTGTATTTATAAGTGCGCAGACAGAAGTTTAAATATTCAGACACATTTTATGATTGTCCTCTGCCCGTCTTCTGGTTAATGGCTCCTCCTGTGCCCACCAATACATCAATACCGCTGTGTGTATTGAATCACGGGCAGGGACGAGGAAGAAGCGAGTCCATAGCCGAGCCCGCTTGAGTACATACAGTACAGTAAATCGGGACCCTCGGCAGAAGGCGCTTCCCGCCCGCCCGCCATGTTGGGGAGCCCTCCCTGCCCCCCGCGCCTGGCTGGGCGGCCGGGGCTCGCCGGCAGCCGGGGGAGGGCCTTTCATAACCCGGAGAATTTTCAAAGTGCGAGGAAGATGATAAGAATAGATTTCTACAAGTCCCGACCACGTGATTGGCGAAATAATTAATTCAGCACGTCCCTTAAGAAACACGGAGTCGTCATTAATCTGCCACGCAAAGGGCTCTCTCCGACTTGGAAAGTGCAGGGATCCCAAGAATATCACCCGCCGAGGGGGGCTGCGCGGCGCCCCCAGCCCTCCACCCCCGGCCCCCAGTGGCGGGCGCGGGAGTGCGGCCAGCAGGTAAATATTTTGGCGACTTTTATTTCTTCGGATTTAAATCCTTAATGAACTTAGCTGTCAGGGCCGCTGACAAATAGTTCCCTTTGCTTCCTGATTTGGAACCGCGCGCCGGCGAGAAGTTGTTAGTGGCTTGGATGGTGACCTTTGGTTCAGCAAAGCTTTGCACTTATGAAAAATTACCGAGAGCGGCCGAGTGTGTGGATGTGAGCGAGAGAGAGGGTGTGTGTGAGCATGTGGGGTGGGCGAGGGGCGAGGGGGCGAGGGGCGAGGGTGCGCGGGCTGCTCGGAAACAACAGGAGTTGTAAAAAAAAAAAAAAAAAAAAAAACCCGCCCGGCTGGGGGACGCGCCTGGCGCACGCGGGGCCGAGGTTGCCCGGTCGCCTGTGTCTACCGGGAACAATGGTCGCTGTCACGGCATCTGCTGCCTATTCTTAAACCGGTGAGAAAAGGCCCTGGCCCTCTTTTCAAGCGAGGGTCGTAAATTTTTTCTTTGCGTCATAATAGAAGGCTATAAAATCGAGTTGAAATTTTACCCCAGGCAGGTTTTAACCAACAGATAATGATTTCCGAGTTTCTTCTCCCACTCCCCTCCTTTCCCACCCAAGCGCTGCTGTTTCTGTCACCCCAGCAAGGAGTTTCTCCTTCTTCCCCTTTATTTTTGTCGTTTTAATTTGGGGGCAAGTTGTAAAATAAAGGCGCGGGTTAGAAGTCCCTGCCGCCAGGGTGGGAGACCCTGGGGCGAATGGGGAGCCTGGGG